TTGAAAGCTTCCAAATCAAAGTGTTCTTTTTTGTTATTTTGACCCTTAAATGTACTATTCTTAAATGCCTTAAGTTGTTGGGGACAAAAGTCACGATAGGTCCCTTAATTTTAAAGAAATTTTTAATTAAATGGAATTTTAAAGTGGAGCTCCAGCCAAACTTTTTTTTTTTTTTTAGAATAATACAATTCTAACTTTTGTTGGACTATTATTACTGTCTGGTTACTCTCATGGGCGAAGAATTCCCCTCACTTCAGAAAGGGTTCGAAGGACAGTAATAAAAATTTAAAAGAGAAATGGGGTATATAGGAAAAAACGTTATACTCATCTGAGTGGATGCAGCATCGACTGATGCCTCTGCACTGAGAACTGAGCAATCAAACACCGCTGATAGCTCATTTCTCCCTTCCAATCTGAGCAGACTGTCAGTCATCACTGCCTGCACTGCTCCTCCAGCGCTCACTGGAGTGCTGGGGAGGAAGCAGCTGGCTCAGTCTCCCAGCGGCACAGCTGAGAGGCTGAGTCGGCCATCGGTCCAGGCTTATGGTTGGATCCTGACTGTAAAGTCGAGTTCTTTCCCCAGCTTGGACCAGCTGAGTGATGTCAGCCAACAACAGGCTTTAGCTCGCTGTCTGCTGAAAACGAGTCATAGGAGTGCAGCAGAACAAACTGCACTCCTGTGATCCATAGAACTATAACCAAAATAGCTTTGGCCATAGTTCTCCTTTAAATTTCCAAACAATTCACTTTGGAAATGATGAATAAAACTCTAAATAGAAGCGCAGGCAGCAATAAAAAAAACAAACTGACTTTGCGTCCTAGGGCTCATTCACACCAGCCCCACTAGGTTGTGTTCGGCAGCATTGACCAATATGGTCTTAATGCACAGACAAGCCTTTCTCAACCTTTTCGACACAGAGGAACCCTTGAAATATCTTTCCAGTACCAGGGAACCCCTGTCAAGAATTACTATATCTACAACTCATGATACATTAGTGTGATGAGCAGTGGGAAGAATGCTCCTTACACTTGTGGTCATTGGGAAGAATTTACCTCCTTATAGATGGCTAAAACGATCAATGGAGTTAGTTGGAACTTATCTAAGAGGCAGAATTTGCTCATTGCTCAAGGAACCCCTAACAACCTTTGGAGGAACCCTTGAAATAACTTTCCAGTCCCATGGAACCACTGTCAAGAATTACTATATCTACAACTCATGCTACATTGGTGTGGTGGTCAGTGAGAAGAATGCTCCTTACACTTGTGGACATTGGGAAGAATTACCCCCTTACAGATGGTGAAAACGATCAATGGAGTTAGTTGGAACTTATCTAAGAGGCAGAATTTGCTCATTGCTCAAGGAACCCCTAACGACCTTTGGAGGAACCCTTGAAATAACTTTCCAGTCCCATGGAACCACTGTCAAGAATTACTATATCTACAACTCATGATACATTGGTTTGATGGTCAGTGAGGAGGATGCTCCTTACACTTGTGGTCATTGGGAAGAATTACCCCCTACAGATGGCTAAAACGATCAATGGAGTTAGTTGGAACTTATCTAAGAGGCAGAAATTGCTCATTGCTCAAGGAACCCCTAGAAACCTCTGGAGGAACCCTAGATTTCCATGGAATCCTGGTTGAGAAACCCTGGCATAGACAAAGAAATGTCCCTTATGTCCTATTGCTTCAGTTCACACCAATGCGCAAAACAGGACTTGTTATATAAAATTAAATAGAAGTTTAAAAAGGGGGAAAAAAGTATTACAATGCAATGTAACAAGACAGTATATGTTCACAACTACCTGGCTACCACTGTCACCACTATCACAACGACTGGAAGCAATGGATACAGACATCAATAAAACCCAACAAAGGTTCTAGTCTTTCCTCACTCTATCCAAAATCATCAGGCAGTATAAGCATTGATGATTGGAGAGAAACCACTGCTTCTCCACTGATAGTAAGGGTCCATCTCTGTAGCATGCTGGCAGAGGACAGACTTTTCTATTCTGTGGCTGCTTCTATGAATGTAGATTTGAAAATCTATTAGTGTCAAGCCAGCTTTAATCTCTCCATTTGTCCTGGTGACCATTGACCTTGATACACAATGAAGGGAAATATAAGATTCACAGAAAGGAATCTGTGGAATTCACAGAGAGGAGAGGTGAGGAGAATTTTTCCAAAGGGGACCGCCCTCTTTGGAGAATCTTCCTCTTCCTGTTATTTCTCCAGCACAGGAAGTGAAGGGAAATCTCACAAAAGGGACACAGAAACCTTGCAGGGGTCAAAAACTAAATCAAAAATTAAAAAAAAAAAAAAAGTTTCAGTTTTAGACTACATACCATTACAAGTTTAGCTGATGGAATGCAACTCAAAGGAAACTGATCATTTAGAAACACAAAGGTTGCTACTGCTCTCTTGAAAATGCTAGCTGTCTGGCTGTCATGCTGACCCTCTGTATTTAAAGTGTATGTAAACCCTACAATTGAAATGTCATTAACTCATCCCTTTATTAATAAACTGTCACTGGGGCGGGATTGGGGACCGTGCTCCTCCGTAGGAACTCTGCAGGGGGGGAGTGAAGGAAAGGAAATTATAAGCTTCTACAGGGGCCAATATTAAAGTGATCTGCTCTGTAAGGCCTCATGTACATTGCTGCTACTAAACCTGAGTTTAGGAAATTAGGAAATTTGGGCATTTTGTTTTGCCAAAGCCCTTGAACTCAACTCATTAAAATCCTATGGTGTCCGTTTATGAACCAGCGGTAAATAATCGCTGCTCAGTTCTCCGGAATTCTCGGAGAACACAGTTCTCCTGTGAATGCCTTTTATGAAGCGGTGTAGATCTGTTCTCCGAACGTAGGCAGAATGATCTACAAACGCTGGAAAACAGCTGCTTTTACTAAATTCTTGTGAGATTACAGTAAGAGATCAGTTTACTAAGCAGAGGTAAATTATCGCTGCTTAGTTTGCGGTCCCTCCGATTCTCCAGCTCTGGGCTGGAGAATCTGGAGGGAGAACACGGATCTCCAGTGAAGGGCTGACATCGCGCCTCGCTGATCTCCTGAGTGTCATAAACTGTGAATGACCAGAGAGTAGCTGCGATCCTCTGAATCGCAGCTATTCTTTGTGTCCTAAACGAACACCTATGTGTCCATGTACATACAGGCATTTACCAGAGTTTAGGATCAGCAGAGTTTAGGGGCAATAAGGCTCCATGTAGGCAGGACATTTGGAAAACAATTCTGAACGATGGAAACTGACTGTTGGAAAATGTAGGTTAAAAAATGGCTGTTTAGCCGCGTTTATGTGCGTTTGCGTTTAGAAGCATTTTTTAAAGATAACCCCAGGAGACCTTCCCAAATGCCCAGAATGCACTGAAAAATAGGAAAAAAAAAATGAACTATTTCAGACATTTTGAGAGAAATAGAGAGAGCAGAAGCAGGGAGAGCAGTATGTGTTGAGATGATCTGTCTTTTCTGGTTGTATTCACTATGGATCCCATCATGAGAATAATGCGGCACGTTCTACCATTTTTTCCTTCACGCGAAACCTGGAACTGACTGCGCTGGTGTACCGGGTCTATTTGAATACATGGAAAACGCTTTGCATGCATTTCTGATGATGAAAAAAGACTCTGGACAGCATCTAGATATGCAACAGTTAAAAAACACTTCTAAACGCAAACGCTTATGAACGCGGTTAGTCGAGTTTACAAGCATTTACAAGCATTTGGCGTTTCAAACGCTGATAAAATCTACTCCTGAAAGCAAGTTTGGTGCATTCAAAAAAACAACTGTAAACTCAACGACTGTAAACGACTGTAAATGAAGATGTGTACATGGACACATAGGAAAACATTAGGGGAGTTCAGGGGCTGCTGAAAAAAACCCAGAAAAACTCCTGAATGTGAGATTATCAGCTGCAGTGTACATGAACCTTTAAACGTTCCTCTTCTGAACGCAGAAGAATCGTGTTCAGGAGAGGAATGTTTTGGTCAAAAAAACACTAAACGCACTGAAGGGACTATCCACAAAGATGAAACAAGTCTCCCTACATAAGTTCTGTTTATCTGCAGTCTCCCCTTATCTACATCCGTTCAAAGTGCTAAATTTATAAAGCTTGTCTGAGAGTTCAGAAAAAGGGGGGCGGAGAGCTGAAGTTACACTCTGCAGAGCTCAGTAAGGAGAGATCTGAGAGCAGATTGGAGGGAAGAGACACACCCCCCCTTACAGGAACAGAGCTGAGGCTGTCTATCTGCTGGAGCTCCCTCCCCTGTTACCTTTTCTCTTTTGGTGTCAGGAAAACATGTCAGAAGTGATTCAGGCAAATAGCAGAGGAAGGAAGCAGCAGACAGAAATGACACTGAGTGCTCTTAAATTGTTACTAAACCAGCAACAGTACAATCAGTCTGTATATGCAGTAAAGCATGCTTGTTATACTCACTGTGGTACCTAAGGGGTTAATCCTCTGCATTGTTTAAAAACACTGATTGATCCTCACTTTTCTAATCCTCCCCTTCTTCCAGTGTTCCCCTCTTATCTCCTGATAACACATATCATGTGGAGTTACTCTGCACATGCTCAGTTTGGTGTGTATTGTTAGAGAGGTGGTTTTTTTTTTTTTTCTTGGGAGAGTGCATGCGATCAGCACAGGGCCAATCAGCCCTGTCCAGACAGAGGTCAGTGGTTGTGCATCCTCCTAGAGCAAAATGAAAGCTCCTCCTACAAGCTTTAACCAGTGCTCTGCTGGACACTGGTAGAAGTCACAAGACTGCTCTGATGAGAAAAGGTATTTAGCAGTTTATATTTACTAAAATAATTGCATTTCTATGTTCTGTGTACTGTGGGAGACCAGGTATAGTGAATGCGGGGTCCGGGGAGACCAGATATAGTGAATGCAGGGTCCGGGGAGACCAGATATAGTGAATGCAGGGTCCGGGGGGAGCGGATATAGTGAATGCAGGGTCCGGGGAGACCAGATATAGTGAATACAGGGTCCGGGGAGACCAGATATAGTGAATGCAGGGTCCGGGGAGACCAGATATAGTGAATGCGGTGTCCAGGGAGATCAGATATAGTGAATGCAGGGTCCGGGGAGACCAGATATAGTGAATGCAGGGTCCGGGGAGACAGGATATAAGGAATGCAGGGTCCGGGGAGACCAGATATAGTGGATGCAGGGTCCGGGGAGACCAGATATAGTGAATGCAGGGTCTGGGGGGACCGGATATAGTGAATGCAGGGTCCGGGGAGAACGGATATAGTGAATGCAGGGTTCGGGGAGATCGGATATAGTGAATACAGGGACCTGGGGAGACCAGATATAGTGAGTGCAGGGTCTGGGGAGACCGGATATAGTGAATGCAGGGTCCGGGGAGACCGGATATAGTGAATGCAGGGTCCGGGGAGACCAGATATAGTGAATGCAGGGTCCGGGGAGACCAGATATAGTGAATGCAGGGTCCTGGGAGATCAGATATAGTGAATGCAGGGTCCGGGGAGACCAGATATAGTGAATGCAGGGTCCTGGGAGACCAGATATAGTGAATGCAGGGTCCGGGGAGACCAGATATAATGAATGTTGGGTCCGAGGAGACCGGATATAGTGAATGCAGAGTCCGGGGGAACCAGATATAATGAATGTAGGGTCTGGGGTGACTGGATTAGTGAATGCAGAGTCCGGGGGAACCAGATATAATGAATGTAGGGTCTGGGGAGACCAGATATAGTGAATACAGGGTCCGGAGAGACCGGATATAGTGAATGCAGGGTCCGGGGAGACCGAATATAGTGAATGCAGGGTCCGGGGAGACAGGATATAGTGAATGCAGGGTCCAGGGAGACAGGATATAAGGAATGCAGGGTCCGGGGAGACCAGATATAGTGGATGCATGGTCCAGGGAGACCAGATATATTGAATGCAGGGTCTGGGGGGACCGGATATAGTGAATGCAGGGTCCGGGGAGATCAGATATAGTGAATGCAGGGTCCGGGGAGACCGGATATAGTGAATGCAGGGTCCGTTGAGACCGGATATAGTGAATGCAGGGACCTGGGGAGACCAGATATAGTGAGTGCAGGGTCCGGTGAGACCAGATATAGTAAATGCAGAGTCCTGGGAGACCAGATATAGTGAATGCAGGGTCCGGGGAGACCAGATATAGTGAATGCAGGGTCCTGGGAGACCGGATATAATGAATGCAGGGTCCGGGGAGACCAGATATAATGAATGTTGGGTCCGAGGAGACCGGATATAGTGAATGCAGAGTCCGGGGGAACCAGATATAGTGCATGCAGGGTCTGGGGAGACCGGATATAGTGAATGCAGGGTCCGGGGAGACCGGATATAATGAATGTAGGGTCTGGGGAGACCGGATATAGTGAATAGAGGGTCCGGGGAGACCGAATATAGTGAATGCAGGGTCCGGGGAGACTGAATATAGTGAATGCAGGGTCCGGGGAGACTGAATATAGTGAATGCAGGGTCCGGGGAGACCGGATATAGTGAATGCAGGGTCCTGGGAGACCAGATATAGTGAATGCAGGGTCCGGGGAGACAGGATATAAGGAATGCAGGGTCCTGGGAGACCTAATATAGTGAATGCAGGGTCCGGGGAGACCAGATATATTAAATGCAGGGTCTGGGGGACCGGATATAGTGAATGCAGGGTCCGGTGAGACCGGATATAGTGAATGCAGGGTCCCGGGAGACCAGATATAGTGAGTGCAGGGTCCGGGGAGACAAGATATAGTGAATGCAGGGTCTGGGGAGACCAGATATAGTGAATGCAGGGTCCGGGGAGACAAGATATAGTGAATGCAGGGTCTGGGGAGACCAGATATAGTGAATGCAGGGTCTGGGAGACCAGATATAGTGAATGCAGGGTCCTGGGAGACCAGATATAATGAATGCAGGGTCCTGGAAGACCAGATATAGTGAATGCAGGGTCCTGGGAGACCAGATATAGTGAATGCAGGATCCTGGGAGACCAGATATAGTGAATGCAGGATCCTGGGTTTAGTAACACTTTAACTGAGACAAGTACACTCTATAATAGAGGGATAGGCTTTGTTCATATTTCATGTCTGAGGTTTACATCCACTTTAACAGCAGTTGCTGGGCAGCAGTGCCTGCACCAATCAGATGCAGTCCCTGTTTGGATATTCAGACAGCTGCAGGAGCTGGCTATCTAAATACAATAGCCAACATGAGAGATTTCTCCATCAATGCTGTTTACAGTCAGTAGTGAAGTCTTTGCATGTTTGGTTAGCATGACTTATAGAAAATCTGCTTGTGGTATATGACAACATACAGTACAAGTCAAATCTAGAATATGTAGTTAGAACTGCTGCTCAGCAGTATAATGATTTAAAAGTCACCAAACCACACAGAACAAATATTGCTAGAGATGGCAGGGATGCATTGTCATCACTAAGAAGATCATCATTTGGGGGGAAAGTACAGATTTCATAGATTTTATTGAATCAGACGGGTAGATCTGTCTGTCTGTCTGCTGATCTCCAGAACTTGGGAGACGCCGCATATAATGACAGGTAAGACAATTCAAAACACACACAAAAACGCTGCCTTCACAACGCAATAACATGCAGCAGCCACGATTCATCTGTCATCGCTCCAAACCGATAATAGCGGAAATCACGTCTTTGTATTCTATAATATTTTTTCATATCATGATCGCAGGAGCAAATAAAACATCCGGGAAAAATTATGTAAGTATCAGAACAAATGTTTCACTTATTTAGAGTTTGATGCATTTATTACTGGAAACAAATAATAGATTGACATCATTCCATATGCTGCACATGTGCAAAAGTCATTTCCAACTACAGTATGTGATCTGGTGCAGCAGTAAAACTGCGGTAGGCGACCCGCAAGTGATTAATGGGTGTCTGTGGTATCTACAAATTCAAAATATGCCCTTAGTGCAAAAAAAAAAAAAAGACTCACAGACAGTATTCAACTGTTGCCAATATGTTGGAAATGTCTTTTACCCATGTGCAGTGTATAGAATGATGTAAATTTATTATCTCATGCAAAAAAAAGGGGAATTAAACCCTACATAAATTAAACATTTGTTCAGAGGCTCATGTAACGAAAAAGTAACATGGACAGTGCTGAGCCGTGTTGGTGCGAGTTCACTAATGCTGCTACAATCACCATAAAGGGTAAGTAAACGCTACCAAGAAATGTATCCTATGGTCCATTAAATGTACAACTGAAATCATTGTAATATATCTGCAAAAAGAAAATCACTGTTCATTCTGCCATAAATAATGTGAGCTGATCATTTTCTGTGCTGTCTACCTCTGTGGACAATTATTGCATTGTTCCCAGCTAGCTCAGTGGACTACAAAACACCTCCTCCTATGTTATGGAGAAGGGGACGTGATATATAGTCCTAACACACTCCTCTCCTAGGGTGACAATGGTGCCGCTTACAGTGTGGGACAGGTAGTATGCCCCCGGCAGGATCAATAGGTGAAAATAAATCTGCTTTCACACTGCTCTGTATCAAAAAACGCATATGCTAGATTGTAAGCTCCAAGGAGCAGGGCCCTCCTAACCAGGGGCGGACTGACCATTCAGGCATTCGGGCACTGCCCCAGGGTCCAGGGTCAGTGGGGGGCCCCATGAATACCTTTCATAGGCTTTCTTGGGTGTGGTTTGAGTGTGAGCGAGGACACAGGGGCCCCATGATCCCCTATTGCCCGGGGGCCCCATGAGTTGTCAGTCCGCCCCTGCTCCTAACCCTCTTGTATTGAACTGTATTGTTGCTGTATTGTCTACTGTTATATTGTAAAGTGCTGAGCAAACTGTTGGCGCGATATAAATCCTGTATAATAATAATATGCGTGTTTGCCGCGTTGTGTGTTGCGCTCTTCGTGCATTTTTTATGTGCTTGCATCACGTGTTCCCCCAAAATCTATGGACTGGACACAGCACTTTCCACAAGCGTGTTGCGTTTTTTATGTATTTTTGCCGCATTTTCCATTCATTTCAATGGAGAGGTCCATTTTTTTGTGCTTTTTTTTTCCCTGACTAAATATGCACCAGAAAGCAGGATTTTTAAAAATGCAACTGAAGCGCAACGGACCAGTGTGAAGAGTTCCATAGAGTTTAAAGAGATGCATTTTTCTTTCCTTTATCTTTTAACTGAACATCTGAACAAAAACTGATCAGTGTGAAAGCAGTTGTAAGAAGGAAAAAAAAAAAAAAAAAAAAGCATGAAAAAAAAAAAAAAATCAGCCACTAAAGCCTCAGCACACTGTGGCCCCATTCACATCTGAGCGTTTTGTAGAGTGAATCTCGAAGCTCCAAACACTCATGGAGAAAAAAATCAATATTAGTCTATGGAGATGGTTCACATCTCCACTCCAAGTCACCGGAAGCAGAACTCCTGAGGCTCACAATAGTTTTGGAGCTCCACTCAGGCAGATTGATGTGTTTTGGGCACGTTTTTATTCCCATAGAAATACATGGAAAAACGCAAATTGCGCGTTTATAATGTGCTTTCGCGAATTTTGTTGTATGGCCAAGAGCGTTTTTTTTTTTTGGCATGGCAAAATATGGCAACAATTGATGTCGCAGATGAAATTTTTCTATATTGGCTAATACAAAAACAGCAGAACACAAAAAACCTGAAAGCGCCTGAACAAATCGTGCACAAACGTTTGCAAAAATGTGACAAAACGTGCAAAAAAAAACGCTACACTCAGATGTGAATGGAGCCTTTTGTTTTGACGTGTCATCGGCAAATCCTGGCATTTTTGGGTATCATGAAGGCACAGGTACAGCATCACTCCTTACTGCCAGCAGCCTGTCAAAGTCTTTGACAGGCTGAAATACGCAGCTTCTGGAGGCTGTACCAAGCAGTATTTGCAGTCAGGCCCACATGAGCTTAGCGACTTATGTCCCAAATTCCAGAACGCATACGGCTCTAAGTACAAGTGCCGCTCAGTATATCGCCCAGCCATGGCAAATTTCAGCCTGTCCTAGGTTATGACAAGGCTGCTGGCAGTGTGGTTGGACAGTGTACCTATGCCTCCTGAGCACCCGAAAATGCCAATACTTGACGCTGGTGGGCCAAACTGTCCTGGTGCATGTAGCCTAGGGAAAGGTAAGCTGCAATATGTTTCTTTTATGTTCCTGGATTTAGATACATGTTAAGCTCTTTGTACATAAAAGTCAATATTATTAGTTAATGCTTTTGTTAAATTTTAGGAAAGGAAATCAAAGTTAGTGGCAATTAGTCTCAGTCAACTGGATGTATCATAACTACTGCTAGCTATACCAAGACATGGGCAAGGCTACGTTTACACTAGCTTCAACAGCAGGCGTTTCATGAGCATTTTTTAATGCATTTTTGAATGCTTGTCAAAGGTGTGTGCATTAGTGTTGTGTCATGTTGTGTTGTGTCAAAAGTGACCCGACATGTAT